TGGATATTGAGGTAGATGATTCGTTCATCAGTTCATTCTCGAGTCAAGATTTTCCAGAGGAAAGATTGCTCGAATTCTCCACTGAATTGCATTATTTGCTTGTGAAGATTACGAAAGGATTTGCTGGAAGCATTGTCCGTGCCGGAAAGCAAGAGAACGGATTGGAAGCATGGCGATTGTTGCATGAAAGATTTTGGATTTCTTGCAGAGACCATGGAATGGAAACATTGAGCCGAATTCTCCTTTTTGAGTTTAGGAAGGATTTCTTCGAAGAAGATTTCATTGCCTTCGTTGTTCTGAAGAAGAGATATGAAGAGATTGGCAGAGAAGCATTGAGTGAAGATGTTCTTGTCGCATTGCTCATAAGCAAGACTGAGGAAGCCTTGTCAGGCTTTCTTCGATTGCATCAGGATGCATTGGGAACATTCGATCGGGCCGTTGACTTAGTCAAGAGCTATTGCAGATTCTGTCGATCCACATCTGGCAGATTGATTCAGCCAGCATCTCAGCACCAGGTGTTGCGGATGATTGTTACAGAGAGCGAGATCAGAGATTCTCAGAGGAAGAGAAGTATTGGAAGATTGCAGGAAGAAGAGAGACTTAGAGGCCTTACTACGCGGACATTGGAATACATATCCCACCTTGTTGAAGATTCGGAGTTGATTGGCAAAAGAGAAAAGGAAGGAGTACAGGAGACACATGAGGAAAAGGACGCCGCTGAGATTGAGGAAGCACAGGAAATTGGAAAAGGAAAAGAAAGAGAATCATTGAAGGAAGAAGGAAGGAAGAAGAATGAGGAGAAAGAGAGCCACCGAGTGGGAGATGAAGAGGATTGCATTAGCACTGAAGAAGAAGGAAAAGGGGATTCTGTCGACTGCTCGAGCAATTCGTCGAGCGAGGATACCTGGTATTGCAGCGTGAAACAGATTGAAAGGAAAGGAGAAGAAGAAGAAGAGAGATTGGAAAAAGAAGAGAGTTGCTGGTTCGCAGATGCAGCATTGAACGTTGACATGGCACATTGCGTTGCGTTGTCGCACGCTGGATTTTCAGATTGCGCTAGCATGAAGAAGCATTCCGATTGCATGTGTGATCCGATTGACGACATGGGCGTTAAGCATTGCGTTCGGACATGGCTCAGCTCTGATTGCGTGTCGGATTCAACAGAGTCACATGTTGATTATGTTGAGTCTGATTGCATGACGGATTCTGACTGTCGTAGTCATCGAGACTGCATTCTTTCAGACATTGCTTTGGACGAACCCTGCATTGCGTCTAGTTCCGAGATTGGTGATCAAGTTTCATCCGTGTCGATCGTTAAGCGATTGATTGATTGTTGCGCGCACATTGTCACGAATTTAAAGAGTCTGGGTGTACTAGAGCATTGCTCGTTGCCCGAGCGATTGAGAATTAGTTTTGGCATTTTGATGTTTTCGCTCATCACGACTATTGTTGTGTTCTGCGGATTCATGAGTGCTCCAAGTAATTGTAGAGCATTTCTGCATGGGTTGAAACCAGTCTTCGAGTTTCACAAGGATTGGTCGTTGGGATTCACTTCGGATGTTGGATTCCTTGAGGATGACTTCAGATTGGACGATTGTTGCGTTTTCGATTGTGTGCACTTCGGATTCGGAAAAGCGTTTCCGTGTTGGTCTTCGAGTATTGGCGTTCACGATTCACTGCATTCACTGCCTCAGGATTCAGCGGTTTCGATTCAGCAGGACTTTGAATGCTTGCGAGATTCTTCGAATGAGCATCGTTCTGCTTTCTACCAAGAGCATTGGAGCAGGTGTATTGATCCTCCTGGAAATGTCCAGATTGTTCTGTGTCAAACTGCACCTTCATCATTCTGCACTGAGACCAAGGAAATTTTGGATCAAGGTATTGTGGACAGACCCAGTGATGAGATTGAGCTCTTCAGGATTGGGAGCGATTCCGCTATTGATCTTTGGAGCTTGATTGAACACTTTCTTTTAGCGTGCATATTGCAGCTGAACTATTGTCACAGTACCATTACACATTCAGCATGGTCACTTGCACCATTGCCTAGTCTCCAACCATTGCTCAGCTACTCACCATCACCACCTACTCGATTGTCACTTCATTCCGTTTTGCATGATGGATTCCTCCGTTGCTGTCTCCATCATCATTGTTCATTCTTCGGTTCTTGTCAGCTCTATATTGCACTGACTGTGCGTTACGTGGATTGCATCATCGGAATTCATTGCAAGTCATTGTACCTCATGTTACCATTGCCAAGGCTGTCGTACAAGACTGAACTCGACAGCGGCTGGCAAAAAGTGGTACCAAGAGCTGCCATTGAGCATGCGTGTCGCAATTGTATGTCACGACTTAATGTAATAGATCTTGTCCCAATAGATTGTCTGCTGTACATCGCATTGTCGCGACGGCCGATGCTGATGTCGAGGCATGCAGTGCGACATATTGCGGACGAGCGCACATTGAGCATGGACATCGCAATTTGTTTTCCACGATTCGTTGCAATAGAGTTTGCCATAATAGATTGCATTTGCATGTTGTACTTGAGAACTGCAAAAAAGGCGCTGTCTCAAGGACTATTGCAGCTTTGCCCATGGCGACCATCTTGCATTGTTGACGGTTATCACAATCTGATTGTACGACTTCTGACGACGAGTTGCATTGTCTTTCACGTTTTCATGGACATTGTTCAAAAACTACTGAAAGACGTGTTACAAACTCTAGGAGCGCTACCACAGATTGATTGCACGCGTCGCCATCTCAAGCCGAGGGACCGAGATTGTAAAGATTGTCTTGACATTCGCATTCATGATTTTCTTTCTCGTTTCATGGAGCATTTTGCTCATGTTATTGATCGATTGCGGCTTTTCGATGTCGCCCGCTCACACATGTTTGCATTGCAGACTGCTTTGTTGACTTTAGGGAGCATCGACATGATTCAGAATGAGCTTTGCATTGAAGATCGAAGACATTGCGTCAAGAGACGTCATGCACCCACTTCTCGGATTGCGATTCTCTCTGCTGATCGTTATTGTTACGTTCGGCATTCCGAGTATTGTTGCCTCGTTTCCATCTACTTGTGCATTGAGCCTTTCATTGACCTGAAGCAGATCTCTTGTGTTTGTGCGGTCAGTCATCCTTCTTTGCGATCCTGCCTCTTGATTGATGAAGAACATTGTTGCGCATTAGGATTGTATGTTTCCCACGCACATTTATCACTTCGAGAAGATTCCGAAATTTGGCTTGATTGTGATCTTGCTCATTGCGTTGACACTCGCTGTCACTCATTCCGACGGTTGAACACATTGGATGTGAGAGAGCCCCAGAGAGATTGTGATTGTCGAGAGACTTGCAGACTTGCAGTCGTGTGCCACATTGATCTCACCTTGAAGATTCTCAGGAAGGAATCTATCGTTGACTCTAAGGTCGTGAGTTCGATTCTCACTCACCACGCAGATTGCGTCGATGAGATTCAAGCGGATCTATTGTTGCTCTATGTATTCGCTGAGGAACTGAGAGATTGTGGTGACAAGTCTGGAGATCCATCGAGACTAAGGTCACTTATCTCATTGAGATCGCTGCATGCGATTTCACTGTGGTATTGCATTGTGCCTATCTCTGATTGCAGTTTCGCTGGACCTTGCTTATCATTGCCACTCATTTGTGTTCACCTCTCGACCGTCATGAGATCATTGGTGGAGCGATCCATCCATTGTCACCCACAGTATACTACTGTTGATCTTAGGTCATTGTGCTTGTTCATTCTTACCATCATCTCTTTTGAGTGTTTTGATTGCCATCATTCCTTTATTTTGGTTCTTTTCTATTGTATCTATGAGTATGACATTGACAGCACGAACTGGATGATTGGAAGAGACCAGTTGATCCATTGTCATGTCTTCGGTGCTCTGGCTATATTTGAGCACTTTGGCAAGATTTGGCATTGCCTCCGTTATTCTCGATTGACTGAGGAACCTTTCGGATTGACCAAGGAACTTTCAATGAGACATTCCTGCGTGCTCCTGAGCATTGTTCCATTCAAGAACACATTGACATACCGCAGGCAGATTGTAATGACGCGTTCTGAACTTCACAGGACTGTTAGTTCGACTCATTACCTGTTTGAGCATTCCTTGTCTGTCCTCAGATTGCGGACTTCTGGAGCATTCGTTGCTCTGTGTGCTTACACTGAGGATTGGCAGTTCATTCCTCTGTCATGTGTTGTTGAAAGGAATCATTGCTCTTTCGTTCATCATTCTGACCGCCTCCACTGCTTTGGTCGTTTTTGTCTTGAGATCCTCATTGTGTCATGTGAGTTGATCTCGACTGTGTTCGACCACTATCTCATTGAGAAAACCCCAAAACCAAACAAACATTGTCTCATCTGTATCACCAAGGAATTTACTCATGCCCTTCAGTGATGCAAGGACTGTCATTGTTTAAGGGACCGTCTTTGTATTGTGTTGGATAGACTCCACACATCTGAAGGGAGCCCATTGCTTGCTTTACTGAGGTCGAATGCACTTCCCTCAGAGTGCGTATTGCACTATCGAAATAAAGAAGAGGTGAGAGTTGAGAGAATTCTTCATGAGCTCAGCATGTGCATTGGCAAGACTTTAGTATTCCTGTTGTGGACGATTGACCAGGAAGATTTTCTTGGAAGGTCTTGGACCAACCATTGTATTTGAATTGCAAGAAACAAGAATTCATTGTTTGAAGAGATTTTATAGTTGATTTTAAACTGTACAAAGCATTGCAGTGAAGAGCCGAACATTCATTGTTTCGAGTTCCACGTGCATTGACTCGGTCAATCATTGTTGTATCAACAACATTGTATATAGCATGATTTTACAGCATTGAATGCGTTTTGAGATTGAAACCCGGAGTGTGTGTCCTCTGTGATTGTTTGCTTGTTTTCTCTTCCGCTTGCGATTGCTCGTAGATTGAGAGAAAGCGAATTGCACTTGTGATTGCATCAGACTGATTCATTCACTCTGATTGCCATGGCCGCCAATGGAGCCCCGGCATTGGGCACCCAGGCACTTGAGCCTGAGTACGTCATTGGCTATCCGACATTGACATCGCCGACGGATTCGCCATTGGAGCAATTCCGTTCCATTGTGAGCTCGATTGCCGAGCATTCGTACTCACCGCATCACAGATTGAGGTGGAATTCTACGACGGTATTGACTCACATGCGAGAGGCCATTGCCATCTTCTACGCCCAACTGACGTGCATTGCTTCGTCATTGGAACTGCAACTGTGGAAAACGGCACTCATTGACACAACACAGATTGTCGACAAGTACGTCAATGTGACATTGGGTGAAGAAGGAGGATTCATTCACCTTGATTGTCCGATTATCATGGAGATTGCTGAACAGGTGCATGACGCATTGGCAGCATGTTCGCGCCAACTTGTGCGATTCAACCAAAAGATTGGCGGAGTTGAAGTGCCACTCGGATGGGGCATTGGAAACAAGTATGCCCGAACATTGACTCCTGACGGATTCCCAGGACACAGTGGATTTGCCAATTGCATCTTTCTCCACCTATTGTGGATTTGCAACCGATGCATTGGAACGATGAATCAGGTTGACATTGCTGACGGCAACATTCCCGTCTTCTCGCCAAACTTGGCATTCCTTATTGTCGATAAGACAGTTGAGTGCTATTGCTCATTGAAGAGCATCTTTACACGATGCATTGCTGTCACATCGTACAATTGCCGGAATTACGCCCCGGTGGATGGCTTGGTAGATTGGTTCTGTTGCATTGCTCTCCCAGCAAGCCAGATTGAATCTCTCAATGCGGGATTGACAACACTGATAACCACGCCATTGGGTCAGTTAAATGCTCAATTGACAGTCGATGCTGCCTTGAGAAAAATGTGTCATTGGTTTCGACAAGGCAGATTCAATGAGACCCAGCAAAGGGAATTGGTCAAGATCATTGTGTTTCGACCATTGAGACGAATGACTGACGTGCGATTGAAAGTCCCCGACGGCACGGGAGGCTTCGCATTGTACCACAATTGCTCTTTCATGTCGAGCAGTTGGTGCCTCACGATTGACAGCCGGCATGATCCGATTGCCAACACCTATTCGTACATTTTGGATGGATTGGTACGCCAACATTCGATTGTACTGGAGTTGCCGACTTTGACAGTTGAGTCATTGGCATCGATGATGCATAACAGTTGTTATGCGAATTGGGTTCCCACGGAGACGGTGCACAGGCATTGCACCTTGCCATTGACCCATCTGGAGATTGAAGGATCACCGGAATTGTATTTACTCTCGGAAAATGATTCAGAGATTGCCGCGGACGATATTGCCAGCAGTGCAAGTGCAGGCATTGATCCGAGCACAGGCCCTGTGCCTGACTCATTGACCAGAGAGGAATACAGCATTATGTTGTCTACTGCCGCTGCGATTGCGAAGAAGCGCAAAGGTCGTTGAAGATTGCCAAGAAGATTGGTGATTGATCCATCTACAAATCCGGATGATGGATTGTGCCTACGGCATTGAAGGACCGTGCAGCATATGCATTGCTGCCTCTCAACATTGATTTTGGTTTTGACTCTTTCTGCCCGACTGCATTGGATATTGATACCCCGTTGCTCGGATTGAGCACAAGACAATTTCTGCAGACACTGTTGATTGATTGCTGATTCCATTTGCTTCTATGATTGCAATGTACCGACGGAGACATTGTTTCCTGGATGATGATTGCTGATAGCTGCAGATTGGGCGACTGCATGAGATTGTTCAGATGTGAGCGCAAAAGGAGTGAGATTGCCACCTAGATTTTAAATTAGTTCCGTGATTGAGTTTTGACCGGTAGATCGATTGATCGTTTGCCTTGAATTGCCCAACGATGATTCCGATTCTTGTTTCATTGCAATTATAGCATGGTTATAGGACCGATAATTGAGCGGAGAATGTACAGTTGTGATTGTTGACGTGACTCGTCACAATCAAGGGACCGTGTTAGATTGCATGGTCATTCTCCAGCTCGTATTGGCTACGGACAGCACGATGCCTATCAATTGGCATTGGCTCAAGACTGGCTCATTGAATCCAGACAAAAGTCTGAGACCGAGTGATTGCATTCTGAAGCTGATTGAGATTTCTTGTTGATTGTTGTTGCCTTGATTATTGCACACTCCTGGTGATTCTCGAAACGCCCTTGGAATTTTTCATTCAATGTTAGATTGTAGCATCAGTTCACCACTGCCATTGTACACTTGCCACTTTGGCTCAAGGCACATGATTGATCTGATTGCTCGTGAAAAGATCGTTGACCGAGTGATTGCATTCTGAAGCTGATTGCATCTGTGCTCGCGCATTTGATTGTTGCTTGCATACGGCATTCCAGTGAAGCTCACGAATTGCTCCTTGAATTTTTCATGGTAGCGGAGCCCTGCGGCGAAGCCCAGGGTCCTCCATTGCGCTAAGGACATTCTGAGTGATGGCAGTATTGGGAGAGTCACGTGGATTAGGTGGAGAGATCAAATTGTTTCCCCCTCCTGTATTCAAAGGTGAACACGACAAATGGGAAGATTGGTCTTGGCAGCTGAAAGCGTATGTGGCATTGTACAAACCTGTTGCCCAGGCATTGATGGACAGAGTCGAAGGAGTAGCCGGTCCCATTGATGACCATGCGGTACAGACTGAGGAGAACAACTATTATTCCGGACAAGGATTGGTGGTTTTCTCGAAACAATTGCATTACCTTCTAGCGAACTTGACAGACGATAATGCCAGACTAATTGTGCGATTGAACGAACACGGAAACGGATTCGAAACGTGGCGACAATTGCATGAGAGGTTCGCACTCCCGAATAGGGCAAAAGGTGTTAGTCTATTGTCTCAATTGCTTGAACACCAATTCCGAGACGCCCACTTCGAAGCGGATCTGACGCAGTTCATTGTCTTGAAGAACAAGCATGAGAGAGCGACAGGAAGTGCATTGGCAGACGAATTGCTTGTCACATTGATGATGAATAAGACCAAGGGCCAATTGCAACAACACTTGCGATTGCAAGCCAACACGTTGCGCACGTTTGATCAGATTGTCACGATCATTAAGGAGTACTATCAATCGAAGCACCTTGTTAATGTGAAGGCACCCGCCAACGATTCGCCTGTCCCAATGGACATTGGCGCTGCATGGAAAGGTTATGGACATTGGAAAGGAAAGAGCAAGGGCAAAGGAAAAGGATATGGAAAGAAAGGATTTGGAAAGAAAGGAAAAGGACTCAACAAAGGATTTGGCAAGAGCAAAGGAAAAGGATTCGGAGATCACAAAGGATTCAAAGGCAAAGGATTCGGAAAAGGAAAAGGAAAGAGTAAAGGAAAAGGAAAAGGATTGAAAGGTAAGAACACAGGATGCTTCCTGTGCGGATCTCACGATCATTGGGCCAACAATTGCCCAAAGGCCAGTACCCAAGCGGCATTGTGGAATATCGATGAAAGCACGTGGAATGAAGATTGGAGTGATTGGAATGAGAGCTCAGGAGAGAACGCAGAGAGCACTGATTGGTCTGAGTACCAAGGAGCATTGTTTGACGACCCCTCTTGGACTGAGGACGATTGGTATGGAGATTGGTGGTATGATGACAGCCATGATTGGTCTCAGGAATGGTCGTGGTATGACGATTCGTCGTGGCAGACAGCTGATTGGCCTCAGCAGGCTCAGTTAGCACTGCCGCCGCCAGCTCAGCCGATTGCGCCTCAGGCAGTTGCAGCTTCCGCTGCACCGATTGGCCAGGTTCAACCCCAGACCGCAGCAGCAGTCATTGCTGGACCTCCGCCAGGATTGTCACCCTCTGATCAGATTGCTAATGATAGTCTCATTGCCTCAAGCAGTAGCAGCTCGAGTAACTCGAGAGGCTCAGGCATTGCACGCACACGCCCAGGTATTGCAAGCAAGCTTTTTGTTGGAGCATTGATGCTAATCGGCACATTGTCTTCCAGCGTACCCGCTCTTCCAGAACATTCTCCATTGAGTGCTCCCATTGTAGGTGAAGCACCATTGTTGAGATCGTCATCTGCATCTTCCATTGAAGGTGAAAGCGACATTGAATTGAACTTCGAGTCAGCTGAAAACGAGGACAGATTGGCTACCTTCCACAACAGCTCAGGACAGATTGAGCGAAGTTGGATACTGTTCGACAGTGGAGCATCAGCGAATTGTTGCCCACCGTGGTTTGTCGAAGATTATCCATTGATACCTGTTGGATCGGATTGTCCCATCCTCAGAAGCATCTCAGGCAAGACATTGGACATCATAGGCAAACGCGTTGTCGAGCTTGATTGTGGTGGTCATTCGCTGTGCATTCATTTTTATGTGTGTCAGCACATTCCATGTCCATTGGTCTCAGTGTCTAGATTCCTCCTTCAAGATTTCTGGACCGTATTGAGCAGGAATTTTATGGCCTTATTGACTCCAGATTGCAAACCAGTTCCCATTGTGCGTCAAGGCACTCTTGTCTATCTGACGCCTACTATTGTCCCGTTTGCTCAGTCTGATTGTAATTACAACGAACTTCAAATTGCAGCAGTTATGGCAGAAATGGATCTAGGAGACGGCGACATTGAGCTTCGAGGTATCACAGATATTGAAGATGAGTATGATCACATCGCTCAGGTTCATTCATTGATTGCCGCAGCCAAAGCCAAGGCTAAAACCAAGCCTAAGTCCAAAGCATTGCCCAAACTTGCTGCGAAGGCTAAAGCAAAAGCCATTCCCAAATTGGCACCGAAGCGTGAGAATGCCAAGAACACTGACTATTGGGTCATCAACGAAGAGAAAAATGTACTTGTGCGATTCCACGTAAAGCCTCGTCAATATTTGATGGCATTCCGGTATCTTCGCGGGAAATTGCCAGTTGACGAATCCAGATTGACAGGTCACAGGGAGACAGAACGATTCTTCAAGGACGGTTCAGCCGATGTGATTGTTGATCAGGATTTCAGGACATTGGATGATGACAAGGTTGACAATCGCGTTCAGCCCGATCCCGAGAACATTGTTTCTTGGAGAGGTCGTACAACATTCAAGCTGAAGCCTTTGACAGGTAAGGCATTGGAAGAAGCAAAGAAAGTTGCATTGCAGTATCAGGGTTCGCCTACTACAGCATTGCAAACACAGCGTTTTCGATTGTCGACCCCGGTATCAACACCTCCTCCTCCTCCTCCAGAGGTATTGTCATCCAACCCGCCCGCCCTCCCCGCGTCTTCGTCCATTGGTGTCTCCAACCGAGGAACCGAAACACAGATTGATCGCCAACACATTGTTACGACTGGAGTTGAAAAGGAAATCACGAACAAATTGCGATCAACAAAAGAATTCAACGCCAGTATGAAGGACTTGATTGTGCGGTTGTTCTACACCAAAGATCCTCAGACAGACCAGACCCGTACTACGGATCATTGGATCCAGACTCCCTTGTATTGGGTAAGGATGATACATGGTGAGCGTGATTGTTTGGTCAACCCTGACAAATGTCCGTCACCATTGTCGTCTGCAGACCCATGTGAGTTCGGTAATCTATTGTCTGCGAATCGGTACACATGTGTGTTGGATTGTTCTGATTCGGAGAAAAACGGTCTTGAGATTGAGGACCATTGGTGCAATTGGACAGACCCTTCTGGAACTGTTAAGTCCCCTGAAGAGGATCCCGATAGGAAATTGGGTTTCCGTTGGTCGGGATTTTCAGTCTTTGGGATTCAAAGCCCCATTGAACTTGATCATCCTATGCCCGAGACCATTGATCTCACTGCTAGGCAACCCAAAGGATTGAGAGTTCCCACAAAACCCTCAGCAGCTGAGCGTCGTCAGCATGAATTGACTCATTTGCCATACAGAGATTGGTGTCCCCACTGTGTGAAGGCTAAAGGCAGACATGGAGCATCGAAGAAACAATTGGACAGACAACCAGTCATTCAGGTAGATTATGCGTTTCATGCGACTGACCCGAAGCTCCCTTTGAGGAAGCTATTGACGGCAGTTGATGTTGTCACAGGTCTTGGAATGACCATTGTTGTTCCGAGCAAAGGAAGTGACGATTATGCTGTAGCCGAATTGAAGAAGTTCATCTATGAATGTGGACGTACATTCGGTATTCTCCAATATGACAAAGAATCGTCATTGAAAGCATTGCGTGTCAGAGTATGCGCCGAATTGGGAGGTTTAAGCATAAGAGCTGCACCTCAGGGCCATTCTCAGGCACAAGGCTCTGTAGGACAAATGCAGAGAACATTCTACGGACAATTGAGATCATTGATGTACCAGATTGAGTTCAACTGTGACATTCAGCTTACTTCGGATAGCATTGTCTACCCATGGTGCGTCAAGCGCGCCCAGTGGCTATTGAACCGGTACTTGATTCATGCGGATGGTAAGACATCCTATTTCCGTAGGTGGAACCGGAATTATGAAGGTGGATTGTGTTGCTTTGGAGAAGTTGTGCAGGCCAAGGTCATTAGCCCGAAATTCTCCAGGAAAAGTGATACTCCATGGAAGACTGCATTGTGGCTAGGACGTGACACTGAAGCAGACGAAATCATTATTGCATTGCCAGAAGGAGTTAGAAAGGTTCGTACAATTCGACGATTTTCTCCCTCATTGCAATGGAATGCAGACCCCGTCAAGAACCTCCAGGCATTGCCGTGGAAGCCACGAGTTGCAGAAGATGATTCTACAGATTTCGTTTATCCGGAAGCATTGAGCATCTTGCAGAAGAGTCGCGGATCGACTCAGATCACAGAGGTGAAAGAGATTGAGCCAGCCACAGAACCAACTACGATTGAAGACCCGCCAGAAGAAGCGGACACCCTGATTGACCAATCGACGAGATTGCTTGATCCAGATGAATTGACAGAAGCCCAGCGAGAGGCGATTGAGTTGCAAGAGCAACCTCCTCACGAGACTGAGGTCTCAGAGCCAGAATTGCCATTCTCTCCAGGCATTCGTCGATCAGGTGATCAGATTGAGGAACCGTCGGCAAAATCCTCAAGGATTGACCCGGATACCGAGGTGAAACCCTCGTCATCTAAGGTCCAAAGGATTGCGGCATTGCGCTCAGTGACATTTCACATTGCTTCTACAGTTCAGTACATTGCTGGCATCATAGGAGCAGTTGATGTCACCATGAAGGACGGAATTGCCGTTCCTGTTCATGTGAACATGGACCATGATGAATTGCATCAGGAAATAAGATTGTCAGAACCAGTGATCTGGGATACAACAAGGGAATTCCCAGCTGAACCCCAACGCATTGGAATGAACAAGGAGATGCAATCGATGAAAGACTTCGATGTTTACACTGAGGTCCCGATTGACAAATGTTCACAGTCTGACATTGATGGTGCGATTGGTGTCCGATGGGTGAAGAGATGGAAAACCGACACCGAATTGAGAATGAGATTGGTTGTTCAAGGATGTTTTCAAGACTCCACGAAAATTGACACAGACTCCATTTACGCGAGCACCCCATCGCTCGTTACATTGCGTCTGTTACTGTTGATGTCATTGGCTAGGTCCTGGGAGATCAGCCTTGCAGACATTTCAACAGCATTCCTCCATGCATTCATTGAGGATCCCGTCTACGTATGGCCACCGTCGGAGTACTACCCAAACTTCGATTGCTTGTGGAAATTGAATCGTGCCATGTACGGATTGCGACAGTCACCCAAATGGCAAGATCATTTCGCCAGCGTGATGACCAAATTGGGTTTCCGTCGATGCAAATCCGACAGCAACTTGTATTGCCACAAGTCACGGAACTTGTATGTTTTGGCCTACGTTGATGATCTCCTGATTGTAGGTGATCCTAAATTGAAGAAGGAATTCATTGATGCTCTGAGTAAAGAACTTCTCGTGAAGATCACAGGAGAATTGAAGCCCAACACGGAACACAGTTTTCTCGGCAGGAAATTGAGACATAACGGAGATTCTATCGATGTGCTCATGCCGAAACAGTACATTGAAGATCTTCTGGAATTGTACTCGATGAACAAATCAAATCCTGTTAACGCCACAGGGTCATCGTCATTGAAGAGGATTGAGGATGCTGACTGTGCATTGGACGCTAAAGCGCATTCGCTTTTCAGGACCGCCGTTGGCAAGCTATTGTGGCTAGCATTCGTTCGTCCAGATTGCTCGTACGCAGTCAAGGAGTTGTCGCGTGACGTCAAGTCTCCGACCATTGAGAGCTTAGCCAAGCTAAAGCACCTATTGAGGTACATTGCCGGCACCCGAGATTATGTATTGCGCATCAAGCCCACACACATGTTGTCAGATTGGACATCCTCCATTGAGATTGTATGCGGGCAGGTTGCAGTAAGACTAGGAAGTCTACGTCAGGCAGCACTGCACAGGTATTGGGCTCAGATATGATTCACACCTCTCGAACGCAAGCTACTGTAGCATTGTCGTCAGGAGAAGCTGAACTCTATGCCATTGGACAGGGCACTAGCGAATCATTGTTCTTGAAATCACTGATTCTTGAGGCCGAATTCGCTAAACGTGTCAACATGGTATTGTACACAGATTCGACGGCAGGACGAAGCATTGCCACGAGATTCGGAGCAGGTAAGAAGACCAAGCACGTTGAATTGAGATACTTGTACATGCAAGATCTCGTTCGTGCAGGTGTATTGAGCATTCGGAAAGTGAACACCAAACTCAACCCCGCTGACATATTGACCAAGTATTCCCCGACCGAGGTCCTCCGGAACCTCACACACAAGTTAGGCATTGTGAACATTGCCGACCAGTTCAACATAGACCCCTAAAACCAAACAAAAATTGTTTCACAGTGCATGTTAGGTTTCATTTGAGGAACCGACGTCTACGCGTCGAGATTGTGTCTCCGCCTCACCAAAAGAAAGAAGAGAGAAAGAAGTGAGAAAGAAGAGAGAGAGAGAGAGAGAGAGAGAGAGAGAGATTGAGAGTCCGACATGTCATTTCTTCACAAGCCTTTTGATTGGCTGAAGTTCTCCGATTTTAAGCAGCATTGCCCATGTTCATTAAAGGCATCGCCACCGCCGATTGTGTCGTCCAACAGGGCAGTTGGAACACAGTCAAAATTGCATTTTCATGAATTTGAAACCACTTGTTTAAAATTGTACATATTGTCATCATTGCAGAAACTGCATCGGTGTACAGCATTTCGAGCTTCTTGGATTGCATGCCAGTGATTGGATCTTGATTTTGCTTCTGCTTGCAGTCATTGATCAGCGATTGCGACGACAGCACACCTCTCGCGATAGATTGTGCCATGGCATCCACAATGACAACGCCGATTGACACTGCTCATCAATTGCTTGGCCAGGCACGCCAGACGATTGATGATTGGACCACTCCGAGGGCCGTTGAGTGGGTCAAGACATTGATCCAGTGTCTCACTATTGGGATATTTAAGGATCACAGCCAGGCAGTCTCATTGAGTCCATGGATTGCGATTTACATGGAGATGTTGGTTCTCATGAGTCAGCATTGCGATTCGGAACGCATCGACCAGGATGCTTTTGCATTGGTCTGGATTGAGATGGAATGAGCTCTGCTGATTGCCACACAGCTATTCGTTCGTGTTGATCGAGGGCTTTTCAATTTCAGTATTGACCCCAGTCTGATTGCAAATCAACCTTACATCACGACAGGGACGATTGCGTCAACGGCTATGAGGCCGTCATTGTCAAAACTGATTGGTGACCGTTGGTGGCAGTTGTCACCAGAATTGGCGACTGGACCAGCACGAGTCATTGACCTGACTCGACATTGGTTTTGTCCTGACACCCAGATTCAGCACGGATTGTTCAATGCGATGAGCCGAACCACATTGATTCGCGGCTCCACGCAGCCCTACCAGCCAAACGGATTGGCGAATTTGTGGTTATGGATTGCTCTTCCGATCCAAATGACTTCACGACTGTTGTCTACTCAAGGATTGGATGTGAGCCATTTCAAATTCCACCAATTGAATTTCTCATTGACTCCCTGGAACGCATTCTTTAAGCTCATGCATTGGTTCAGACAGAGTGCGATTGGTTGGTCCATTGAGTACACAAACATTGGACTCATTCAGTTGCGTAGGCAGTCGACCAAATTGTCGAGCGAGATGAAGAACATTTCAGGTAGAGGTGGACAAGTGAATTGGCACAACGTATCCTATATTGGATGCAGTTACATGACCATTGACAACCACGCTGTGAATGGGATTGTGACATTGAGCCCAGAAGAACTCAGCAGCGCATTGTGCTGGGAACTTCCGATCGAT